CATGTATCCAAATTCAATGAATTTTTTTATTTTGTTTCTGCAAGTATTTAGAATTAAAATAAAAAAATTTTACTGAAGTTCAATATACAGATATTGAGAAATATCGATTAAAAGTTAAACCAAAATTTGGTCACAGCTTTTTTTTTTATGGATATCTTAAAGTTGAACGAAGATAACTCAGCCGTTATATAATCAAATTTGATCAAAATTCTTTTATTTTAATTCTGTGAGATCATAGAATTAAAATAAAAAAATTTTAATAGAATTTGATCAGGTAACAGTTGAGTTATCTTTGTTCAAATTTTAGATATCCATAAAAAAAAAAGCCGCAGCCAAAATTTTGTTTTAGCTTCTAATTGATTTTTCTCAATACCTGCCTATTCAAATTCAGTAAATTTTTTTTTATTTTAATCCTAAGTACTGGTAGAATTAAAATAAAAAAATTTTCATTGAGTTTGGATATCTGGGTGTTGAGAAATCATTGTTTAAATTTCAAAAAGAAAAAATTTGCTGATTTTAGATTTTCTTTCCAAGATATTTCAAACTTTTTCAAAACTTCTAGCGAAGTTTTTTTAACACCCACTGAACCAAATTCATTGAACTTTTTTTTATTTTAATTTAACAAATACATAGAATCAAAATAAAAAAGTATTTACTAAATTTGATCGAATGGTTACTGAGAAATATTCGCTAGAAGTTTAAAAAAATTCAAAATTTTCAAAAGGATTTTCAATTTAATTGATTCTGATTGGTGAATATTTGGGCTCCGGAATCAGATCGGAAAGGATCTACAGTGATCTACAGCTCGGGATTTTCTTGACATAAGGGAACCTGTGTATGACTATGTTAGAAATATTTGATTTGTCAGTGGAACAGACGGACGTTTGAGCTTTAAATTATGATGATGATATAATGATGAGGATGATGATGTGATGAAGATAATTGAATGTATGAATGAATGATAATTTGATTAGGAGTATGCAGCATTAAAAAGATTATGAGAAAAGTTTGTTGCCAGATATAGAAGAAAGTTCTACACATGCTCTCCCTATCGATATAAAAAAATGGTTGTTTTAAAATTGTCAGGAATTATACGGGATGGAGTCGATTTTCCGAACAGGGGTTCATGCTTGTACTGGTTTCATTACGATGTTTATACGGGATATAAAAATAGAAAATTTTTAATTGAAAATTATCGTATTAAAAACGTATAAAAAAAGTATTCATCCAATAAACATCCTTTAATTGTTCGGAATGGAGTCGATTTTCCGAGTAAAAAATCGAATAATTTCGAATTTTCCGAACAATTCCAAGATATTTAATAGTTATTGGGCAGACAAATCATAGTAAGCTGCCGGATAATAAGTAAGATTTTGCATACGTAATTTGAAATATAATTACACACTTTGTGAAATTTTCAATATAACTCCGTCACTCCGTTCCTGGTACCATCGCTGCCTCCAAAGAATTGTGCATCAATAATGGTACCGTATAATGTTCATTTCAGACTGTTTGTAATACTTGTCATGTGATACGTGCTACAACTCTTCACATATATCGGAAATTTCGGACTATAAAACTCCGGATTTCATTAAATTGAAATTTCCGAAACAAGTTTTAGATCTGTTTGTTTCGGATTACAGACATTTTTCATTATTTGCATTGGTAAATATGCTAAAGGTTTTTGTATCATTTATATCAGTCACAAATATGCATCGTTTATATTAGTCACAAACATACAACATTTATATCAGTCACAAATATGCATCATTTATATTGCAAATGTTCACCACTCATATCAGTCATTTTGATCAATAATTATGCAATATACTTGATTTTTAATTCGTCTATAATAGGTGTCACAAAAAAAGCATCACATTTTGAGCAGGTATAATTTTTTTGCCCTGTAAACATTTAAATATAATTTACGTAAATAATGACCTAAATTTGTTAAATTAAGGATTTTGTTAATAAATTTTATAAAACTGGCATATCAACTAATAAATCTCTCATCAGAAGTTAGTACCATATTACTAAAACTATTAAAGGACTTGAAATATTTAGTATACGCATTTTACATGCATATGATTAATCTGCATGGAGATCGGCAAAATGCGCGCATTTAAGCGCCCTTTTGTTATTAACAAATCTTACAAAATGATGTATTAATTATTTAACCATGCTAATCGACGTAGTTGGCCCAATTTTGTGTAATAAATAGGTTGCAGATTTTGAAATTTTTTGATAAATAATTTTTTTTATACAGGCTATGCCTAATCCTAGTCAAAGTAGCTTATAAACTTAAGTTTAATTTATCAAGTTATCAAATTTTTAATATTCAAAATATTTAAAAGCATTTTATTTGTCATATTGCATGATGTACGATTTTTTTCCAAATTTAGTTTTATAATAATTTTTGGTAATTCGAATAAACTTTGAAATTTAATTCCAAAATCCATTGTATAACAAATGTTATACAAGATGCAAAAGAACTTATAAAAATGCGGTCGTTTTAGAACAAGAAAGTCAAAAAATGTCGAAGAAAAATAATAAATTGTCTCAGCGTCAATTTTTAAATAAATTAGAAATCCCCTATGATGAATTTTCAAGGATCAGGTGGTTGAAGAGATCAGAATTTGGTATTTACAAAGATGCAAATTGGAAGGAGTCTCATAACAAAGTGGCGTTATTGCTTCCGAAGGAGATTAATCATTTTTCCAAGGTATCAATAATATCAGTGGCACTCATTTTCTCGATTCTTATTTTCCCGACACTTGATTTCTCCAACGCCATTTTTCCGACACAAAACATTTACCCGAAAGTACTGTTTCCCGACAATATTTTATTTGTTAGGGATCGGGTAAAAACCTATGTTAGGGTAAGAGTAGGTATTAGCACATAATAATTGCTTTGAGGAAAAATCTACCTTGGTCTTCATAACCTGAAACTTTTAAATAGACTCTGCCGGCTTTTTTAAAAAATTTCATATATAAAATTTTATAAAATTTGTATAAAAAATTTTTTAAAACCCACCCGATATTAAAATATGTAAAAAAAAAAAAAAAAAAAAAAAAGACCCGTGGATCGATAGTCAGAGGTTAACACTCCCGGGTCATGATCGAAAGGTCGTGGGTTCGAATCCAACTGTGTACAAAGCTCGGCTAAAACCAGATTGAATGATTTTTGAAGATCCAGATAAATCAAGAGAGAACAAGATTCATACTAATGCAGTCACCGGCATAACCATGGGGTTAAGGTAGGATGACTGGCATGCCAGGTCATGGATGCCGATGGTATGCCATTATTAGTAAAATTATATTTAAAATTATTAGAAATAATTTGAATCAGAGTGATATTATAATATATATATATAATATACAGTTAGGCCTCTCTAAGTACACTCCTTTAGAACTATAGCAAAGCAATAAAGGCACTTAGAAGGGTGTGCATTTAAATTTATAATTTTGGAACTAAGGAGAGATATGCATTTAAAGAGGTTTTCATAAATATATATTTAGGAAGAGTGTACTTGGAGAGTTCTGACTATATATTTGATTATTCCAAATTTTTTACCAGTGCCAGTCACCCAAGGTCGGGGACGACCAGATAAGCGCAATCGTCAACAAATGACGTTAAAATCGAGTAAACCTAGCTTAAGCATTATATATGCAAAATTAGGGAGCTGCGGACTGAAGTCCTACACCACAGGACCCGCAACGATATATGACGGACTTAACAAACATGAGCTATCTCGCGAGTACGTTGAAATATAGCTGCCATATGGCGTCCGTTGATCTTCGCAGAATGATAACTCTGGCTTTAACCTTCGGGAAGAGAAAAAAGAAATAATAATAATATATATATCTATTTATAAGTAAATTTTAACCCGGCCGGGTTATGAAAACCAATTAATTAATTTTGTATGGCCTAATTGTTAAGGAGGCAATATTTGGTAAAATAATTGTCGGAAAGGATACTCTGTTGGGAAAATTATAAAAACGTTTTGTCGGGAAATGGTTGTTGGGGAAATTATACTGCCAGGAAAATGAGTGTCGGAAAATCATATGACCCCAATAATAAATCGACGTTCATTAAATTTCAATAATAATACTACAATTTCTTTGATAATAAAGGAGAACAATCAAATATCAAAGGTGATTCAATAAATATGTCTAATACTTTATTAAAAATAATTATTAAAGTCATAATTTATCTCATTTTTGTAGTTAAAAGAAGTAAAACACGACAATATAGTAAAGTTTCATGGAACAACACATGGTATGCAGTCGCTTTGTTGATGAAATAAAAGAAGAATAAATAAAAAAAGATAATGAATTAAGAAATTAGAAAAATAAATGATTGATATATCCAGTTATTTGTATAATATAACTAAAATTATTACTTTTTTTTCTTATATGCATTATTAGACCAAGAAAATAATATTAAAATGTTGGTTTTACAGCATACTACCGACGGGAGTTTGATAGAATACCTAACTCAAGACTCACAAAAAATAAAACCAAAAGATAAACTGACTTTGGAAGACAAACTGAATATTGCAAAAGATATAGCTAATGGATTAAAATATTTACATGACGAAGGAAAGATACATCACGGTGATTTGGTAAGTTAAATCGGTCTAGTTTTTTTAACGAAATACTAGGATTTATCGCTAACATATATGCATACTATAGCATCCAAAAAGCATATTTATTGATAATAAACGAGCTCTTATAACACATCCAACAATATTTACAGTAATAAACAGAAGTTCTTCAGCGGGTATCATGAGAGATAAAATTCCTTATCAAGATCCACAATTATCAAAGAACATGCGACAACCTCCCAGCAAAAAATCAGATATTTATAGTTTGGGAGTTATATTATGGAGAATATTTAGCAACTATGAACCGTTTTCAAACTATGAAAAAAATTTAATCAGTCTTATACGTGAAATTGAGAAAGATATGAGGGAAAAGCCCACGGGAGACGCGCCTGAAAATTATGTTAGTATTTATGAAAAATGCTGGTCATCCAATTTAAGTATGAGGCCACCCATTAAAAAAGTCCTTAACGAACTTAATAAAATAAACTGTAAAATTAAGGGTAGAGTGGACGGTAATAGTGATCACGTTGTAATCATATGAAATCATGTGATTGACCAAATTGACCCTACCCTTAATAGTAGGATTTATATCAGTAAACGTTCTATTGTCCCACCATTGGTCAAATTTGTGGACTCCATTCTCGGACAGTTAAACTTGGTAAATCTAGAAATAGTGTTTCTTTGATTTAAAGTAGCATTTGTTGGTATTGATAGCAAGGGAAATAGCTATTGGTGAACCGATTAAATTATGACCTATTTTCAGTCAATTTTTAGAATTTAGTTTATAAATACTCGGATAAAATTAAACAATTTAATGCAGTCAAATTTTATGAGTAATAATAGAACCACTACTGTTTGCGGTCAATAGTATCTATTTCCAATTTTTTAAATATATTAAATTATTTAATACTTCACTATGATCAGTTTATAAAATAAATCAATTATTTTATGGTATTTTTAAATGATAAAATAATTGAACTATTTCATAAATCTGAGATAGTAAAGCATAAAATAAAACCGTTATTGCATACTTCGTATGCAATAACTATATATTATTATTGAACTTATCAAGATGATATTTGGGGTGAAAAACCTATGATAAAATAATAATGGGTTGCTCTCATTGTTGCCAATAGTTTTCTAAATGATTATGTAATTTTACACTAAATTGTGTATCAAAAAGTTTGGATAAAAATTGATAAAAGTATCCAAAAGAATGAAGTGCATTAGTAAAATATTTAAACAACCACAATATGATAAAAAAAATTTAGAATCATTAATTGGATCACAAATATAACTAGGTAATACCAAGTTATCCTTATTATTTTCAATTAATTCTTCGTCAATATTATTTTGAAGTTCATATTGTACTACAAGTGTCTAATAAAAAATATTTAAAATAATTATTTTAACAAAATATATAAAATAAATAAAGTAAAAATTACTTTTAGAGCTTCTTTGGTTCGTATAAAACTACTAAAACAGTAATAATATTGTTCCAATGTGTACCACTAGAAACAATTAGGGCTTGTAACTTTTTATATGTTTGCATCTGAATATCATGAAGCTTTTCAGCAAAATAAACATGCTTTTTACTTTTAAAATATATTGCAATATATGTAGCTTCTAAAGCAGTAGTTTTAAATATATCTGATTTTTTGAAAATTTCGCCTATACACAAATTAGCTTGGTGTGCAAAGCATGGCAAGTATATAATTTTAAGATTTTCAACTTGGAGTTGTTTCCTTGCTGCATTATATGATGAATGACTATCTGTTATTATTGCTGCTATTTTTATTTCCTCATCTGTTACAGTTTTCATAATTTCATTAATTTTATTTTTTACTTCTTCTGTACATGCTCTTTCACCACTAATATCAGCCGCTTGCCAAACCAAAACTTTACCAGAACTTGTAATTAAAGTACTTCCTATAATTGATTAATTTATGACATTTGTCCAACCATCCATAGCTAGAGTAACACTATAAAAATCTTCTTTGGCTTTTACTTTATATCTGCAATCATCTGATTTAAAACACATATTAAATTTCACTATTTAATTTTTGCTGCTCAGGAAGATTGCATGAAGGATTAACAAATTCAAACAAACTCTATCCATTTGAAATTGTTGCTTTCAATAACAAATAATTGAATCTATCTAAATTATTTTCTGTAAACTAGCAAAGAGCAAAATTATCTAATGGTCCATTACTTAAAGATTTAGCCATTGTATGTGAATTTTGAGTATTAGCAAATAATGAACTTGATGTATAACTTGATAATGAGATATGATATAACTGAGCTGAGATAATTGATTCATTATCATTTTGTTGTATATAAATCTTTTTCCTTGATGTTTTTGCATTGTTGCTTTACTATCCATATCATTTATAATAGCTTGTGTTTCATTTTTGCCATATTTTTGCTTAAAAAAATTCACATTTTTTAAAATAATCTTTGCAACATTTTTAGTATTTGTAAACTGTTTAAAGTGCATAAGAACATCCTTTTATTTCTAGACAAGCTAGACATATTGTATATTTGTTATATTTGTTAGCTTTTTGATCAAGTACTTTAATATAAGAAGTTAGCCGATAACAACATGACATTATTCTTGGTGTAAAATTATTAAATAATCTTTTCTTTTATACTTTATAAAAGAATTAATCTAACTTGTTAATTAGAATATCGAAGTTAAATTATAAAAAATTTGTTGCCATTTTAATAATAATTATACAATAATGGTAATTGTAAAGTTTTTATATTTAATTTCAATTAACTACTATTTTTATCAGATTCATGTTTTAAACTAGACTATATATAATTGTTATAAAGTTTTATTTGCAATTTTTAGCTTCATAATAGTAAGGCTTTAATTTCTATTTAATTAATCTGTTAATTATGCATTGATGCTAATATAATTCATATAAAAATTATAAAATTTGTATATATAATAAGGAAAGAGACTATCTTTTGTAACAAGTTATATATTGCACAGCCAAATATAAAGATATAAAGTGTATCAGTATATATGTATTAGCAATCTAATTTTTAAGAGCTCTTATTTATTTAATTAACATTTATATGTTTAATCATCTATTATAATAATCAGTTATACAATAAAATTAATACTTTTAAATAATTTATTTATAAAAAAAATAATTTTCTTTTTATTACAAAATGAGTATTTTTGTTATAAGCTCTTATATTCTTATATTTACATAATGAGAAGGTGACTTCTTAGTAGTTCTACTTGGAGTATTATATTTGGTAAATATACTAACTACAATTATTTATTTATGTAATGTATTCTTTATTATAATTTCAGAAAATTATATCAATCGTAGTTTTTTACTGCTACTTCCTTCACTATTGATTATTCTTACCTATTTTTAGACTTTTCTAATTTTCTCACTACAAAACTTTCCAATTTATTTTTTATATCTACAACTATAAAATCTGGGCTTATCGATCATGAACTATTCTTAATTTAGTTGTATGAGTAGGCCATTTGATTGTCTATGAGGCAATTATGCATATTTTATTCATTATATACATCAATCGGGTCCTGGGCTATAAGCATCAATCATTCTTGTTAGGTTATAGGCTTTTTAATCAATTGTTATTAAATATTTTGGGTTGATCTATATTATTATTTCTGATTGGATAATTTTTATTTCACATGATTGAACTATAATTGGACCCTATTATATAAGTCTAGCTACTAATAGTCCAGTAGAATGGACCTGAACTGGAATATGCATTCCAGTGGACTGGACTAATCCAAATGACAACCCTGAGTAGTATATATGTGAGATATATATAGGTGGTGGAACCTGGCCAATTAATTGGAAATTTGGGGCCGGATGGTCTAGCTTTGGGGACCCAAGGAGGTTGAATACACAAGATTGGTCACACATAGATGCTATATAGTAACTGAATGAGTTACACTTTATTAAAAAAAAGTAGTTAAATCTACAAATAGAACAAAAACATGTAAAATATGTACATCCTATTTATAATAATAAAGTAAATAGCATTTTACACTCTTTTCTATAATCACTTTTACCAAAAATTTCTAAAAAACTTTTCACTAGAAAAAAATATAAATGGCCATACTAGAGACCTTAGGATAGCAACTATCATTTAGAGATAGTTCTTATATACTATTTGCTGATTTTTTCAGAGTTTATCACTTACTGTGGTAATAGGCATGGCACTTGTCATTTAGAGATAGTTCTCATATGCTATCTGCTAACAAGCTTAAAGTTTATCACTTACTGACAAAAACTTAGTATTGTGCATACTCCAGTATGGCCTTATTTAATTTTAGTAAAAGAAACTTATGCTCTTTATTTTGTATACAAGTGGTTTTTCTCCTCTACTCCACCTTTTTGCCTCTCTCACAAAAATTTTGACAAAAAGTGAGCATTCTAGCTTACCCTTTCCAAAAAATCAGCATTGTTTACACTTTCTATTTTTGGACAGATGAAGTAGGACATAAACATGGATTGTTTTAACAATAATGCTTCTATACTACATGACAAACCAATCAGCGCTTAGGTTAATGAACCGACCTGGATTAGACAGTATAGTCAGAAAAATTTTAATAATAAGGCTTAGTTTTACAACAGAGATATACAAGATTTTTAAATTTAGTATATAATTTTTATAACTTGTGCCTGGCATAAGCTATAATAGTGCTTTTATAGATTGTTTTTTTTCTGCTTTTTTTTTCTTGTTTCATTTGTTTCTTTTTTTTTTTGTTTTCTTGTTGCTTAGACAGTTTTTTTATTCTCCTCTTTCATGTCATTCTCTTTATCTTTTTAGTATTGGTTTTTTTTTTTTATAAGTCAGTTGGAAACTATAAATCCTTCTGCTTGTGAAGTTAGGAGAAAAAGATTTAGAAAAAATAGCAGTCTTGACAGGCCATAAATACTATTTAGTGAAGTATCAAAGAATTTTACTTGCAGGGTTTTTGGTATAGAAATAAACATTTACTATAGCAAGTCTAATATAGACTTGAGTCATAATTAATATTTTACTCATGAGTTTAATATTGCATTCTAATAAAGTGTTGGCAAGACTACCAAATAAAGTGAATAACATGGCTATCTTTAAAAAAAAAATTGGCATTTAATATAGAAAAAAAATATATATAAATTTTTAACCAATTAAAATCAATTACACAAAAATTAGCCAATCAGAATTGATTATGTAAACACCAAAATTGGTGCCTATATGTGTCTTTTATTGTCTTGTACTATATAAATAAAGAAGAAAATATATAGTCATGAAAACTAAAATACTTATATCTCACAATCTATTGAGCTGATTTTAGTGCTATTTTGATCACATAACACTTCTTTACAACTTTAATTAGAAGCTAAAAAGAGACTTACTAAGCAAAAATTTAAAGATCACAATATTTTTACAATTTTATTAATAAAATTATAAAAAATATTAAAATCTTCAAAATTATACCAATTAAATCTATCTTTATATTCTAAGTAATCTTGTTCTATGTATAAAATTACATCA